AAATTCACCCTTTGGGTGCACTAAGCTTTTCTTGACTTGACTTGACCTGACTTCTGCTTTTGACCCCAAAGGACACATGCAATATTACTGAAACTTTCAACCTTGCTTCGACAGTTCCGTGAGAGACACTTTATGTGAATGAATTGTAGAAAGATCATCAACTTTAATGGGATTCGAACCCATGTATGCAATCCCCTATTAACCATGCGTTTGAAACTCAACCAGTAACTTCGTCAACAAGGACTGGCAAAACGACCTAGACATGCGTGTAGCATCGAACATGACCTGTGTTAAAATAAAATTCAATCCCTAAATGTGTGTGTTCAGTAGCGGTGTGAAAAATGACACCAACCGCGAAAGCATTCCTACACTCGCTTGCCACATTCGTACACCACCATTCGTGACCCCAGAATGCTTTTGTACGTTACATCGGAGATGGGTGACGAGTCGACTATCCGATGAGCAGGCTGGTAGATAGACGACAACAACAACAGCAACCACAATCGCAATTGACTAACATCGGCTTGTTTGTCAGTTTGGTGTGTGGTTGCCTCAACGATCGATATGCATGGACTGTGCCACAAGTGTAAACAAACGCAGACACAAAGGAACGTAATCAACCAGACAAATGACAAATGTGAAGGTCAATAATACCGGCAAGCAAATGAAACATGCCCACGATGAGCAGTGACCATTTCCACTTAGCACACAATAGCTGATATAGGTCTGTATGCTAGACAAATTGACATCGAGCAGAAGAATGAAAATCGACACAGATAAGCAGATGAGTTAAAAGCCGGTTGTTAGAGATGACTCACTTCAAGAGCCGGTATTTGATTTGCATCCGAAGCGAGATGTGGTGCACGGGAATGGTGCTGAAAATGCTGACTAACAGAGTCGATTCCGGGATTAGAAAGGGCATCGTGATAGCCATTCATCTGGATTGGGTCCCTCGTGATCCCGGCTGACTCTGAATCTCCACCGGGAGAAGTGGTGGCACCCGCCGCGCCAGTTTCCACGCTGGACGCCATCATCGATTCCCCGTTCTCGCGAATACATCCAACTACAGCAGCAGAACTTGGGCCTACGCCACCACCAATGCTACTACCTACGGTACCTGTCTGGTAGCGAGTAACTCCAATGAGGCGATCTAGAGTTTTCAGCGATGCCGCATCTTCACTCCATCCAGATAGACTGATGCTACCCGCATCTCCGGCAGCACGACCAGAATTATTTGTTAGGCCTGGTGGTTGAAATGCCGCAGTCGTGGTAACAGTTTGACGAGTTCCAGTTGTCTAAAATCAACGAGAGGGTAACTGGATGAATAAAAAACTGCTTTACTTAAAATTCTTGTTGGCAGTGAGGAAGAACTATTAATGTCCACTTATTTAACCAACTCCGACAGAGAGGGCGTCCTCCGAACAAAACGTCAATTTCGGATAGTTCACTAGACAAAATCTAATTATTGAAGTTATGCAAAAGGCGAATAACTTCAGCGAACAAGCATTATCTGCGAAATGTTTGAGTATGTTGTAGAGGCGACCTGTACGAAAATAACAACTATTCAATCAGTTTGATAACAGATCAATTCCAAATTCGAGTCTCACGTGCGAAACATTTACATTCATACAACATATTACGTACATAAAGGCTTAGAGCTAGTCGAAGCACCCCAATAAGAAATCGTGTGTCATGAATTGTTCTAAAACTGCGTTTTCGTAGGAAAGGACGTTTTCTGATTCTGTTTCTTTGTTTTTCCAATACATGTTACACCCTTACTTGGTACGTCAACAAGATTAGAAAGATGTCAAATTCTACCGGACACGTTGCCAGGCTACAGATAAGAGAATGACCCAGTGTAGATATAGATCTCTGCTTGAGGTTTCCCGTACCCAAATGAGAAACACAAAGCGAGAGCAACACGATTAATTTGCCATTTGGATCAATCTATTCGTGGATCAGTTGCTTTTTTCAACCCAAATACCAGTACACGTGTTTCTTCGTCCAACCGGCACAAAAACAAATCGCATGCATGTTTTCACGGCGAGCGAGCAACAGCGAGTGATCCGAGAAGGAATCAATGCTTGATGAAGGTGATTTTGTGCACCTGACGGTCAGTCAGAACTTCTCTCGCCCTCGCTCTTTCTTGTCATTACCAAATCGGCTTCACTCTCTGACCTCGTGCTGTCAAGCGTGGCCAACTAATTCAAGACCTTACACAGTGCATGTGACTACGGATGGCGATTCTGAAGCAGGTCAAACCAAAACGCAGAACAAGAGAGAAAACAATCAAGTGTCTGTTCCGGTCGTCATCGAACGGTATATTGTTGAATTCGGTTAATCTTTGCCAAATACCGATCAAGCACGTTTTGTCTGGACAGGAAGAACAAGGTTATGGCTGAAACAGATTATTGTAGTCACTACGCAGATGAACTCTTCTGTATGCGTTTCAGTTGTGACTTGCACAACCAATAACCTTGGATTGTTGTGCGACAGCTTTTGTTGGCTTTTTGGCTACTCTTTTAGTCGACTGGGGAGACAATGAACCGCGGAGAATCGACCTAGTCGGTCAAATGTGACGGTTCATGATACAGGCACACTTTGTCGATGAAATCGAATCAACGGAGCACTGAATCACTCACTACTCCCCCGTCACAAACGGTAATTGAAAATGATCATAAGCAGGATCGGAAAGCGAAACGTGAAAAGAGAGTTTGAAGAAAAATATCACGTGCACGAGGACAGCCTATCACCGAGGGAAATTAGCATCAAATTTAGAACAAGAGAGAGAGAGAGAGCAGTTATGCAATGCTTTGGTTTCTAACAGAAACTGTTGTCCACGATAGACGAACCATTGCCGTGCACGTCAAAGTGCGACGATCAACTTTGACGACGTGATAGTTTGAGTATTCTCTGAAGTTAGCCAGCTTTAGACGTATTTCCATTCGTTATTCAAAAACACGCTAACCGACAAATAGGTGTCAACTATGCGTGCACCAGTTCGTATAGAATATGAAACATTTTGAAATCTTTCAAGCAACGGAAACCATTCGCCGGAGCAACCGAACGAAGCGCCAGTCTTATCCTCCACCATAGTTCGTTTTCTCTTTTTAATCATAAACATAGAAGAACTGAGAATCAGAAAAACAAATAACGACGACCCACGTAAACATAAACGGGATTGGAGAGTAATGAAGAAGTTATTAGATAAACTTTGTTGTACGGAGTGCAAAAGATACCTGAAATTGAGAGCTTAGAACCTCAATAATCAGCTAAACCGGTGGATTCACACCGATTATGATATCGTAGAAGATTGAGACAATTGCAGAGCGTTTTTTTAGCTTCGCAGTTCTTTTGCTTCCCTTTTTTCCTATACAACCATCTGATAACAACGACATACTTCAGGAACACAACGCATCCAGTAACCGACCGTTTTGCAATGCGGTAGATAAAGTTCATCATACACCACTATCAATTCTGATTTCCGTCCGCCGGAAAGAAATGAGGTGACCGGCAAATAGCAGAAACACTGCAAGCTATATCTCTCATGGAAAAATATAGCGGAATAAGGTGTAATTCTATCTATGACCAATGGATGGGTAGTTCCATAGATAAAATTCAGTTATCCGACCTTGCACAACTTTAAATGTAAGTGAACGAGCAAACCAATGGCGATACGTATTGTGGAAGGGTCTGGAAACGACTATAGCCTAGTTTGTCTAGTAGTTGGGTCTTTAGAGTGAAAGAAATAACAAACATTAAAATTCTCATTGTTCGGGAGGAGTAAAGCGCCAATGTCTCTGTTTCTTAGTCAGCCTTTTGACGAGTATCGGAGTAAAACAAAATGCCAGGTAAATGTATTGATTGAAACTTGTTGGTGTACTGGATGGAAGGGAATAGCACTGATAACACCCAATAGAAGAAAAAAGCGAGGGAGAGGGCTCAGACTGACACGGATTCAGTCGGAAACTGTTACTTGCCTATAATACATGACCTGCCATGAGGAACAGAAAAGGAAAAGTCCCGAGCATTTGCGTCGGATTCAGAGAAAATNTTTTACACCTGTTTCTACCTCTTTGGGTCTCATCATCAGTATGAATACACTGGCCCAAAAGATAATTGAATAAGGAATCAAACAGGGAGAACTTAAGATCCTCAGTCGGGTCAACGGTCTGGAACTATTGAGGGGACCAAGGTCGAACTAGTTGTGCAGTGCTTCTGAGCACGTGGAGCAATTTTCCGCTGTCCTGTGTACATATGCAAGCGGATTAAATACTCCACTAGTCTATTGTAAAATAAATGTGAGCAAGCAGAAACACGACGCGGGACAGGGCTATTTGATTTACCCTCGATCAAGTTTCGAGCTATGAAAACACGCGATCTGGGAATCACCTCGGTATTAAGCGTGCTCCTCAGATGCAGTGGAACGGCAATTATGAGTTCACACAAAAAGTCCATTGCAAAACAGTACTCGAAATCAGTTAGATGCGAAATGAAGGCACGACCAACTGGTTCAATATTCCCCCGAGTGAGAATGGTCAATGNTCATACAGCATTATAATAGTGTGCCCGGTTCAGATGTACTAGGAGCGGAAACATGCCACCGTACCAACATAATCACAGATACCGCAGGTAGAAATGGATGGTGCAGGACAGATAACAAGCCAAGTGCGCGCAAAGCACTTCCAGCTGCCTGAGCGTTCCCACCTAAGCGGAAATATGAGACCGTATGTGTTTTTGTAAAACGCAATGACGGCGATTCCCGAATATGTGCATGTGTCTAGTAAATCAAACAATATGGAAAAGCACGTATTATCAACCCCGTTTCGATCGCCTTGTACGCAGACCCACATTCGTTTTTTTACTTATCTTATGGCTGTGTAAATCGTGCATTGGGTTCCCCGATAAACGGTTTCTTTAACACCGATTTCCTAGAAGACAGCATCTCACCGGTTGAACGCTCGTGAGACAGAATCCGACCAAAGCGATTGGAAATATCGACTGGGGGAAAGACGGAGAACAAGCTTTCAATGATGAATGAGTTGGTGACACTGATTGTGCAGGGCACTCAAGTTCGAAGTATTGACTAATCGCCGATGGTTCCATCACAAAAGGTTTGTACTTTTGATTAAATGAGACAGAACGATGTAGTCTCCTTACTATATACAGAATTATTACCGAAGTCAAACACTAGAGGAGCAACCAAAGTGGTAAAACGGCAATTCACTGTAGGCATTCCGGAGAAAAGCTTCAAGTTTATTCAACTGTAGAATTCAGGACAAGATAACGTTCTTTTATGAACAGTTAGCAGATGGAAAACATGGCAATAATGCCTCGGCTGACCTTTGCAATGCGTTTGCGTGTTAGACTTGTTAAAACGGCTTCAGTTGATGTTTTGGTTGATGTCTGATTGATTCATATTCTCTAATTTGTTCTTGAGTTTAGACAGAGCTCTTCGTAGATTTCTGACGGTTGGTCAGTGGGATTGTAGCAAACCAAAGTAAATATTCAGTTTGTTGTTTACGGACGATGGTACAGTCAATGGACTGGTTGGGACACCCTACTTCTAATACACGCCACAGGGTTATGTGAAGGGTCACGAGTCATGGTCTCCCCACGAGACCGAGGTACACGGTTCGGTTTGGTTCTTATAACCATTAACCATGCACTTTCGTGCGCCGGTTTTGGTTGCTGTCTTCTGGTGCCCCAGTTGGATAAAAGAGCAGAGTTTCCATACCCTCATGCCAAGTCTTAGCTTGACCGCACTTCATTTTTTCCCAACCGCTACCTGCCTCACCAAGCATCGCTCGCCGTGGTAACCTATATGGTGACATGCGTAGCACATGTCCCAACCAACGTTATCTATGGAGATCGACTACCTGCTCCAGCGGACGACCGCGATTACCTAAAACTCTACTCCTAACCTCAGCA